ATAGGAGACAGATATCCTCTCTATTAATATGAAGAAAGCAAACCTAATCTTTATTGTTAATTTAACTTTAATTTGCAGAGTATCTTAACACTTTGATTGAACAATGGATTCAGGAAGGAGAAATGATGCGACTTGAACATGTCATTATTGCTGGCAAAGGTGACAGATTAATTGGAAAAACTTCTGACAATAAAGATATTCAAGAATTCCTTGATAATGTTCCAACCTACATGGTGAGGGATTCATGAAATTAACATAAAAATTAGTATACATAGTTGCAAAAATTAGTAATTGTTTTGATACAATAATCTACAGTACATTAAATTTTTTGTTGCTAAGTTAGAAATATATTAAATATGTGTAACTTTGCTGTTCACATTTTTAACTAACATTTTTCTTAATTCAGTATAAGAAACCAATGTACTGATTAACCTTTTGTAAGGGTCAAGATTTTGAACATCTATGAGGATGCCTTCATCCAAAGAAACAATGACCCTCTAAAAAAAAATATAATGCCTATAATTTTTTGGGTATTCCTTTACTCCTTTTTTAAAATAGGGGTCAAATTAGTAGTTTCCCAATAATGAGAAATTTCTCAATTGTTCAGAAGCTCCTAAAATAGTAGTAAAGACACCTATCATTTCCTTATCCAACTTTTATGAGTAAATCTTTTAAGGACCAAGAGTTTTATATTGAAGTTTCCCTAAACTTTTCCAAAACAGATTTCTTTTCAATAGAAACAAAATCTACATTCTTTTTTTATAATCAAAGTACTAGTATAGTTTTTAGTACTTCAGTCATATTTCTTTTTCTTGTTCTTCTTTTTATTTATTTTGATAAATATTTGCAACCTTCATTTCAATATAAAGTATTAATATAACTCCAGTATTAATCCATTTGGAAACTTTTTTTTAATTTCTTATATTTCTATATATCTCTTGCTTTCTTTTACTCGTAACTTAAGTAACTCTTCCCAAAGTGGGCTTCCGTTTTTCCTGCTACCAGTCACACTCTACAAATTCTACATTGTTCTTTTGACATTTTTTGAAAACTAAAGCTTAATCTACTATTGTCAAACTTTGAAAACACCATATTTTAAAGGATGAAATTCAACATCAAAATGTATTTCTTTCTCTCCTTTTACTTCACAGCCTTAATCATATACCTAATTTTATGTCATACAGTTGAACTAATTTCTTTTCAGGCCAACATACAAGCCATTCATGAAGCTGTAGTGCAAGGTAAATTGGCAGATGTAAAACAGTTGTTAACAAGAAAAAGATTTGCTCTGAGTCGTGACCAGCAAGGAGCAAGTCCATTACACCTAGCAGTACTCCATGGGAACTTTGATGTGACGGCTTATATTACTAACACATTTCCAGAAACATTGAATGGGCAAGACAATGTAGGTTTCTTTGTAATATCAGTAAAATTCTAGTGAATATTCTAAAATAACACACAAAAGATAGTGAAAAATTGTTATTGGTCTTAAGATGAAAATACTACATAAAAACTTTGTAATGTTCTCACAAACTTTAGGTCAGTATTATCACTAAAAATGAAATAAAAAAAAGGCTGAGTAATGGATATTTAAATAATGTAAATGATGCAATATAAACAAAATTACAGGAAAGAGTAACTTACTAATGCAAGTTTTTATTATAGGAAGCTGAAAATTGCAGTATCTTAAAATTATTTTGAAAAATACAGATTGTTTATGATAAACCAAATAATAAATTAAATATTATTCATGTGATTAATATCAAATAGGAATGTAGGTAACCTTTACTTGAGTCAATGTATGAGTCTTATTAAGTTTAAAATGAAGGAATTTTACTGAAGTATGAGTGCCTTAATTTTTAGTTAATCTTCTAAGAAATGATAATTTTACTTATCTCAAGATGTGATTTCAGTTCTTATTACAGAAAGCCAAAAAAGCAGTTTTATTAGTCTTATGACAATACAGTCACTTTTAATTACCTACTGTGCCTTATAAGTCTTATCAATATAAGTTGACTTATTACAGGTAACAGAAAACATTTTAGGAACTTCACAATATGATAGTTACTTTTAGATTCTTATTGTGCTCAAACTAAGTTGATCTTAATAATGCAAATCAATCTCATTACATAAAGCACAATTTATCAGTTATCCATAGTTTCTTACTCTGCTCAAAATAATAATCATCACTCCATTTTAAAGTTATTACAAAATTATTATTTTTTTTACAAAACAATAGATATGACCCCTTACTCTTATTTTGTCACTTTTAGTCATACAAATCCAACTAGATCTTATATGTATCACAGGCAGAAGGTCTTTATAATGTCCAAATTGTACTTTTAAACTATTGGAGAGATTATTTTGAGTATCAGTACTGCTAGCATCACATGCTAAAATGTTTTCTGAGCAGGAGGGAAGAACACCACTACATTATGCTGCTATTATACCTAATGGAAGAAAATACTACGAGATTCTGAAAGAGGCAGGAGCTGACGACACCATAAATGACAGAGTATGACAAAATAAGATCTTTGTCCATGTGCCCTATTTTCATATAAGTTTGCTATAATATTTCAATAACAATAAAATAATTCTGTAAGCCTCTTTTCATATTTTACTTGTTAGTCTCTTGATACCTTTGCTTCCTAAAGGATATGCTCAGTAGTGAAAGAATTATTGTATATACCTACTCCAATAAGTGAAAATGAATATCCAAAAGAGTTAAATTTGAGATCAGCAGTTATAATTATAATAAATATATGTGGAAAAGATTTTTTATTTCAAAATATTTGGATTAGAGTACAATGTTTGAATTGTAAAAATAACTTTATTATTCACTGTTCAGGCAAGTAGTGTTGTTAACTAAATTAATGTAAAGCACTTTTAAAATAAAAAAAATTGTGTTACATTATTGTATCAGTATAAGAAATATTATTCAAAGAATCTTAGAGTATTGCAATATTCATACTACAAACAGTTAGAGAAATAAATTTATATTATGACAACTATGTATATATTTAGTTTAACAAATTGATGAAATCCACATCAACATTAGGAATTGCTCTAAGTATACTAACAGAGATAATTTTCTAATGTTGAAAAACATATTCTAGAGTGGCCACAGTCCTCAGGTCTACCTGGACCAACCAGGTTTACTGACCATTAGAGATTTGTTAGAAAGCTACAAAAAAGGAGATTCACCTCAGAGAAGTCCTTCCACAGTGGAAGTCTGGCATCGGCCTTCCATTCAAGAAGAAGAGCAAGGTATGTCAGATGCTATTTTTGTGACAGCTTGTAGCGAAATAATGTCTTTAAAGTTGGTAAATACTATAATTAACCCTTTCTTCTTTGCCTCTGGAGAGCTCTGCCAGCCTAATGCAAGTTTACTATTGAAGTGATAGTGATTATAATTTTCTAATTCCTTAAGAGATTATCTTGAATGCCATATATTCAAACAGAACATAAAAAAGAATGACTTTTCACAGTTTTTCAGTCTTGTTTAAATAAGAATAAGTTTCAAGTATGAACACCAAAGACAAAGTAGGTTCAACTTTACAATAGTTAATTTCATTAACTAATGAAGACTTGATTACTACTCTTAATCTCAATACACTTACAGTGAGCCAAAAACTCTCACCAAGTGCAATGCTATATGAGCCAATTCATATAGCCTCAGGTTTTGGTCCTTATATGCAAAACTTCTGAATTCTGTGCCATTTCTTGTTACTAAATCTAATAAAACAATTTTTTCAAGTATGTTTTCATGATATATTTATAGATATTAGCTTATAAACCCTTTATTATTTTTAACATTTGCTTGTATGCAAATCTCTTAGTCATCAACTGAGATGGAGCTGTATTAGCAACTCTACCAAGCAAATTTTACTTTAGTGCTCATTTTGATTAAGTTCCCATATTTGCTATTTGAAAACGAGTGGAGAAACAACATAATTATTTTCTGCAATTAAAATGTCTATGAAGAAAGATTTATCATATTTTCTACCACCAGAGCTGCAGCAGGATTTCTATATGACACTATGAAGTAATGAAGAACTTCTTAACTGAATAATATTCCTAAGTTATGTTGTTTTCAATGATGCTGCTAAATATTGCAGTGAAAATTACCTAACCATGTTTCTTAAGACTAAAAATGTCTACTTAATCAACTACAGAGAGTGCCACAAACACTTTGTTTTTTAATCACATCTTAATCAAAATGTCATTAAACATAATTTTACAATATCAAATAATAAAGATAATAATGGATAAATCTTATCTTTAAATTGCTCCTTTAGGGTACAAATTATTATACTGCACACTTCTTTTGAATTTAAAGGAATTAAAAAAATAGAATGTGGTGAGATAATCAGGTTAAGCTATGATACCAATATTACAACATTTTAATTTTTAAAAGAAAGTTCACTCTCAAGTGAATGATAGAGAAATTAGAGGCATTTGAATTAGCTTTTATTTAAATGCTTTAATTGCCACTTATCATAAAAATTAATTACAGCAACTTACAAAAGCTTAAATGTTTAAATATTTTAGATATAAATTACTTGAAAAGTAACAATGTAAATAAATGATCAAAAAAATACCAAAGGGTGTTTGTGTCAAAACCTTTATAATTTCACATGTAATAAATAAGGATAGTTATACAACAGTTCAAGTGCCCATTACAACAAATGGTCCAATACTCTGAAATAATGCATGTGATTCAGTGGTTTAGATTACTGTAAAAATCACAACTGGGCCTTGTACACATTCACAGTATATCTTAGGCTGCTATAATATATACTCTGAAATTCCTGTTTTATACTGGTGAATCTTTTTTTTTGATTCTCTGTGTAAACGATTCTTGAGAATTTCATGTGTTGTTCTCATGAAAATGTTTTTGTAAATGTGGGCATTAATACTTGATTTAAAAATGCATATGGAAAGTTGTGAGAAATGTTGGATAGTTTAGTTTCTTCTGGTATGACCTGATGAACAAATCAAAGCTGCTTTGATATGTTCTAAAAACGTTTTTGTATTAGGGCATGTGCTGCAATTTTTGAAGTAAACTTATTACAACATTTTTAAATATAAGATCAATACTGTAGTAACATTTAGAAACATGGCAGTTATAATTATTATTATTGATAAACAAGTACTTTTGTGGATTAATAAAAGCTGCTTTTTCTCATTTATTTTAGAGCTAACTCCATCACAGGATGAAAATGGTGCTCTTTTCCAAGTAGAAAAGACCACAACTGAGACCATTGTTCACCAAATTCTCAAAGAGGGCAGTGAAGATGACAAGAAGTACCTAGTGGAAACGGTTGGGAACATCTTGACCTATGGAATACGTGAAGTAGATCGATTACAACCCAATGATCCTATTGCCTACCTTGCCACGTGGTTATACAGTTATGCTTCCTACAAGGCATCCAAAGAAAAGTCGGTCACACGAAATGATACAACATCACATAACAAGGTAAAGGTACCTTCTAAGGCAAGAATGGCAACAATAAATAATGTTACAAAAATATTATTGCATGGAAAAACATACTATTAATAACTAATACTCAATTTTATATTATAGTTATAAGTTAAAAATATCTGAAGCAGGTATCTAAAATATAATCTGATTCACATAAACCAATTGTAGTAAAAAAAATGAGAAACTGATTGATACAAATAATAACAAATGGTTATTATTATATATGCTCCAAAGTTTTTCTACCAGTGCCCATATTTTACAAATTTGAGAGGTTTTCCTCATTTATTTAGTGTAATCAAATTTGTGAATATTATTTTATTTTACTTAACTGCAGTCCAATCATTAAAGAAAGTGCAAACTGTAGGTTGGATGAAATACATATATCTACAGACTTTTTTGAAAACTTCACCCCCTTTACAGGAAGATAGCATGCCCGAGATTGAAAAAGCTCTCAAAGAACAGACACAAAACCTAAGAAATCAAATGAAGAAAATAATGACAGCACGTTCTCATGAAAGGTTTGTGATAAGTCTGACTAGTAGATTTTAAAAATTTTAGGAAAATGGATTATGAGTAATCACTATAGTAATCCATTCAGAATTAACATAATACTTCATTTACTAAATATTACAAAGACAATTAAAATCTATATAAATATAATAGTACTGTCTGTTGTATGTCCATGTAACTACTTTGCAGGGTGTGGATGAATCTAAACTAAAATTGTTATGGTGGTACATACAAATTTTGAGTTCTACATTTTGCAGTTTTTATGGCCACTTTTGCATTTTTTACCACTACTTTGTCCCCTGTTGATGGATCTTCACCAAATTTGGCATGAAGATTTGTTTGGTCCATGGGGAGGCACATACAAATTTTCAGTTTTGCAGTTTTTATTGGTGTTTTTTTTACCACAACCTCACCTCCCGTAGATGGATCTTCACCAAATTTGGTATGAATGTTTGTTGGGTCCATGCAGAGAAGCATGCAAATTTGCAGTTTCACATTTTGTGTTTTGTAGTTTTTATGGCCACTTTTGCGTTTTTTACAATTACATATGAGGGAAGCAACTTTCATGTCCTAAGATAACCTTTCATTAATCTAGAATTTACATAATTTCCATCTAGGGATTTGAATTTCTTATCATACTATACATCTTGTTAATCTGTGTTTTTATACAAAATGTAATTCTAAATTGATTTTCAATTATATCTTACCAACTACAATGAATTTTCTTATTTGAAACCAAGTTCACTTATAATATCAGAAGTACCTAAATACAAATTGATTTGATTTATATTATTACCTATCCAATTGTTGGTTGTTGAGTTACTGGAGAGTTATCTCCACAAGCCATCCCTAATTCTGAAGTGATGGACTAGAAGGAAGGCAGACAGTCAATACCACCCACTGAAAATCTTGTGCTACTTTTCACCAATGAATTGTGAGATTGACCATCACATTATAATAACCCCATGACTGAAAGGGTGAGCATTTTGGCAACAGGTTCTAATCCATGACCCACAGATTGTGAGCCAAGTACCTTAGCCAAGTTAACAATTCCAAATTCACTCAACCAAATTTAAATTCTCCATGCAGGGCCGAGCATGACTTAGCAGCTAGCATGCTGGAATATGGATTTCCAGGTCCAGTGTTCCCATCACATTATCACAAAACATTCACACCCTACACCCTTGGACATGTTATAAGGATGGTGGTCAAATCCCACTATTTTTTGGTTAGATAAAAATAATCCATGAGTTGGTAACAGGTGCTTTGACTATTTGCCTTCCCTCTAGCCTATTAGAGATGACCAGTGCAAATAGCCCTTGAGTAGCTTTGCATGAATATCCAAAAAACAAATAAAATGTGAAAGTATAATCTTCTGAAACTAGATAAAAAGTATAGTTTGACAAATGCTTATTCAAATTTGGTTTTCAAGCAAAGAGTTAAAATTGTGTAACTTAAATTTCTAACCACTAAATACTAAATGTACTAGACATTAAATTTTGATTAGTTCTTCATTGACATATACTCACTTAACAAAACATTTTGGTATAAAGTAGAAGTATGGAAATCTTCATGAAATATTTGTTTCAAACAACTTAGCAAGTTTTTAATATATTTCATTTTCAAACTTGCTTATTCATAAAATTCTGATGTAAAATTTATATAAAAGTTAATGTAAAAATAAAATTCTGATTGTACCAGCATTGCCCAGGTTATTTTATTAAACTAGCTTACATATTCTTTATAGGTATGAAAATGAGAACTCTATAGATGAGGTTAACAATAATGATCATTCCTCTTTTCAATTTGAAGATCAAACCAAAATGAAGGTAAATTTACTAACTTTTCCTCAGCTAATTTATTATTGTAATGTTTTGGAATTATAACATGAAGTTGCCATCAAATATCATTCAATTTCTAAAATTAAAGATCATTTAAAGTGCCATTTTAATTATTTTTAATTTTACAGATATGTGTGTGCATGCATACAAGTTTTTGTCCATACATTTTTTTCTTCTCTGGATGAAGTCAGGATAAGATTAAGTAATATATTTTAATATTTATTATTCAAAATTATTTACATATGTGTAAATGACAAAGTCATATTCAAACATGATTTATTTTTTATAAACTTATATTTTTAAACTTCATTTTCAAATGGAAAAATTACAAGCATTTTTTTATACAAGATTGAAGGTAAAGAAAACAAGTATTCAAATTTTATTATAATTATAGAATAAATGAAACAACTTTTAAACTCTTGTCATATCCATGATATTAAATTCTCCATTATAAATAATTATATTATTTTTGTTTTAATACCAGTCTTATGACTACTATGTTTCAAAAATTATTGTATTTTAAACTTTTAGAATAAGAAAATATTTTCACCATTTTAGCCTTCCAATTTGTCAAAATATGTGGTGAATACTTCATACAAGTTTTTCTTTTTCAATTTATTCTTAAATATCCATATGAATAAATCAATGTACACATGTTCATACATGCACACACACATCAATAAATTCATAAAATTCCAAAGGGACAAAAAGAGTCTATTAGCCCATCAAGGATTTCCCTTCCAGCTCCCAACTATAATCACCCATTACTACTCATGTATTTATCCAATCTTTTCTTGCACTCAGTTAAATTTTTTACTTCCACCAACATTGAAGGAAGCTCATTCCAAAAGCCAGCCACCCTGTTTGAAAAGTAATACTGTCTAAGCTGCATTGTCAAAATTGGAATTTATGACCCCTTGTCGTATTGTTTTCATTGCTAAACACAAAGAAGTTTGATGGACCTATATAATCAATATCCTTACTAATCTTAAACACCTCAATCAAATCCCATCTCACTATTCTCCTCTCCAAAGAAAACAAGCTTAGAGATCTTAGTCTCTCCTCATAGGACAATCCCAACATCTCAGGTATCATCCTAGTGGTTCTTCTCTGAACCTTCTCCAACAATTCAATGTCCATCTTGAGGAAGGGGACCCAAAACTGTACACAGTACTCTAAATGAGGCCTTACAAGTGGTCTATACAATGAAAAAATAATAGCCCTTGTCTTGTATTCAATATTTCTATAGATGCTACCTATACAATACACATTCTAGATGACTTAAGTGATTTTTCAGTGACAACATCAATATCTTTTTCTTCAATCACAGTATTTAATGTATTTCCATTTAAATGGTAACAGTAATTTGAATTGTGAAAACCTACATGCATCATCTTACATTTTGGATTGTTAAATATTGTCTGCCAAGTATTGGCCCAATGCATCAAATGATCTAAATCTCCCTGTAAGTCTGCACCATCTTTGATACAGTTAGCCACTCCAAAAATCTTAATGTCATCTGCAAACTTCAAAATTTTGTTAGTCATTCCAGAGTCAATATCATTAATATAAATCACAAACAGCAGAGGAACCAGCACAGAGCCCTGATGCACACTGCTTGTAACTGTGATCTAGTCAGGTTTAACCCCATTTATTATTACTCTTTGCTTTCTACTCTCCAGCCAATTTTCTATCCAATTTAATAACATTATCCCCACACCCACAGAGTTACCCACAGAGGCACCTTATCTAATGCTTTCTGAAAATCAAGGTAAACCAAATCCACAGTATTTCTTTCATCAACTCTTGCAGTAACATCTTCAAAGAATATTAAACAAGACTTTCCCTTAGTGAAACTATGCTGCCTATTTGACACTGTATCAAACTGCTTTAAGTGATTCTGCAATGCATCTTTAATCACACTCTTCAAAACCTTTCCAAACACTGATGTAAGACTAATTGGCCGATAATTGCCTGGACAATGTGTATCACCTCCTTTAAATATTGGACTAACATTAGCCAACTTCCAATCTTCTAAATACTCTTCCACTACTCAATGACCTATACAAAATATTAGCTAGCAGTTCACAAAAACAATCTTTAAGTTCCTTTAAAACTATATGATAAGAGTTGTCTGGTCCAGGGGATTTATCAATTTTTAGGTTTCCCAACTTTTCTCGTACATTTTCAGAACTTAAAATGATATCTTTTACATCAGTGTTTTTCCCATACATTAAGTGCTCTGGTTGAGGCATAATACTTGTATCTTCCTTTGTAAAAACTGAAGAGAACATATAATTTAATAAGTTTACCATCTTATAATCTTCCGAGATCAGTTCCCCACTATAATTGTTAAGAGGCCCAATCCCCATCTTAACATTTTGCTTACCCATCATACACCTAAAGAATTCCTTATTGAATGATTTAACTCTCTCAGCCAACCCTCTTTCATATACAGTTTTTGCCCTTTTAACTTCCTTTTTAACCAGCTTTCTTGATTTTCTATAATCCTCCTAGTCCTTATTATGGTTCTGCATTACATTAAAAACTGAAAAATTCTTCAAACACAAATTACTTCAAATGATTTCTTTAATTCAACTGAAGGGGCAGTATTTTCATATTCAAACCACAGCTGTAAATATCTAAATAAATCAGCAGACTTTAAGTTTTATTATTGAGGGCTATTCACAGCAAAATAAATTGTTCTCTGGCAAATAATTTTCTCATGTATAACTATTCTTATTAAGAGTGAAGTTTCTTACTTGAAAACATGTTTACTTGTAATATTAAAAGTACCTATATACATGACTTTTATCATATGGGGATAGAATTGTCAGAGTTACTTTTTAATATAAATAGTTGTACAATATGTTGAACTCAATCACTTGTTAATGAAAAAGAAAAGTTCACACATATACATCCTTGTAATTTCAACTTCTAAGTAACAATGTTACATTTATAATACCTAATTTCCAAAACGGACTAATCTCCTTTCACACAAAAGCTATCTTGGTCTTGTCTGCCCTCTAAGCATTGCTAAAACAATTTTTAGTAATCAGCGCACCAGTCTTTATACTCCATCAGTTTTGTGCCATTTCTAAACATGTACATATCATACGACTACTCTCCACCAATAGTATTGCGCTACCTCTAATGGCACAGCTAGCTTTTCTGAGATTCCTGCTCAATCCTCACTTTTTCAATTGGCATGATATAGTTTAGACATGTGTTTAATTTTCAGTGTGTGACTGCAGGTTTTTTATTGTGCTTTGTTGCTGTTTCCAACGAAGTTTATTCAACAATTTCTAATTTTCACACTTGATTTCATTTGTAATCACAACTTTTTATTTCAAATTTTCTTGTTCCCAAATTCTATGTGTCTTAGTATCAATTTGATGTTTCCTGTAGCCAACAATGATAGTACTGCGATAATGACACAACTTCTCAGGACACAGGGTCGACTTTATCTGCTTAGTAAGTAAGTCTTACAATCGGCCAGCTTTTTCTTCTTCTTTTCAACGTTACACTGTTTCTGAGGAAGAAAACACTCATTGAGTTGTCACTTTGGTCCCTCCTTTTTGAAGCACCTTCCCCCAATTGCTGGCCACCACGTCTTTCAGTTAGGGGAAGACTTGCTCTCCTCCTCCTTTCTTTCTCCAGCTTCAAGTTCTCCCAGGATATTTGTGATAAGTTTTTCAACATATACACTTCACACCAGGTTGATATACTTGTTGTAGGCCCGGATCCAATGCCATTTGCATGACTTTGCCCTTCTTTACACACGGGAGACTTGTGTATTTCACACAGTGCTCAGACTTTGGTAAGTTAGATATTTAGGTATACTTTGTTATCTACATAACTTTAGTTTAAATGTACATTAGATATTGATTATTACTTTGTAATTTCGATAAATGTAATCGTTATGCACGTTCATAAATTTTACATATTTTGTTAGTTTGTTATTCTGGTATTTTCCAGGTAATTTTCATTGGTTTACTTGTTCCTTATTATTACATATTTTGTGGACTAAGTAAAATTAAATGGTTTGTCCATTTCCTATATATAAGTACTTTATGTTATGTTTCAATAGTTTGTACCTTATTTATCATTACTACAAGTAACATATATTTCACTGTTCTATTTGCATATTCTTTTAATGTAGTTTTTAACTGTGTGCCTTCTCATCCCCATTTACCACAGTGTTGGACTTCATTGCATGTTCTTTGTCATCTTGGCTAATTTCGTGGGATGGTATGTTAGATATTTATTATCTATGTGTTTTTTCAGTAATTTTCATCTGTTTACCTATTCATTATTATTACATTTAGATAGTTGTCCATTTCATGTATAACTACTTTGTTGGTTGGGTATGTTTGGTTAGTTTGTACCTTCCTTATCATTATTACTAGTAACAAAGAATTGCTTGTTCTCTTTGAATAATTTTTTGTCATTGTTATGTATGTACTTTCCTGCTAATTTTAGCAGTGTAGGTCTTGATTCTGTGTCCTTGTTGTCTAGGTTACTTTCTCTATCTGGTACCTTGGATATTGCTTATTATTGTGTTTTCTCTGTAATTTCTGTCAGTTAGCACGTTCGTTATTTTTACATTATTTGTTGACTAGAAATATTTTGATACTTTTTCCATTTGATGTTTGTCAGTCCTTTGTTTACTGGGTGTGTGGTTGGTACATTACATATCATTACTACTATTAATATCTAGTTATTGTTCTATCTGAATATTTTCATGAGTGTACAATTTGCCATCCCTTCCTAATTTTCGTCAGTGTGAGACTTAAACTTTGCCTTGTTACTCCACTTATGTATTCGTTTCTTTCCCTTTCATAGGGCTGAACTTAGCTTTAGTTCCTTTTCCTATGTTTGTGATCCTAGTCAGCTTTTAACATGTTTTGTCAGGGAATAAAAGCTTTTGTCCAATTTTTTCACTCTATGAGTCTTGCATTCTTCCTTCTTTGGTTTGACTGGTTCCTATTTGCTTCTTCCCATTTTCAGCCCAGAATCCACTCTCCTCTGCTCCTACAAGATGCAGAATGGGTAGGTTTCCTTATGACAAGGGGGGAAGTCTGTTCTGACTCCCTTTCAATACCCCATTCATTTGGGAAGGGGGGTTTCCTTCCAACATCAGTCAGGCCAAGCCTTCTCCTCTTTTTCATTGGGTTTGGAGTGAGCAGTTCACACATCCCTCATCTTTCTTACAGCTCAATATGTTCTATCTCTTTGGGGATGTGGACTTCCTTTGAAGCTCTCATTCCCATGGATCAGGCTCATATGTGTTCCCTTCATGAACACTCCTTGATCAGTTGAACTTCTCTTTGGATCCCTGGCTTGGTGGTTGAACAGATCCAGATCCCATACTCCTCTTGAGGGGGCTGAGGTTCTTATCTCGACTCCCAGGAGATTTCTGGTCTCTGGTCAATTAAAGAGTCTCTCCATGTCACCTTTCTTGAGTCTTGTCCCATCTCTTTCCTCTCTTATGCGAGTTGTGGTAGTTTCCCACCTAACCACTGTGGTCTGTTATATCACTGAGCCAGGGGGTACCAATTCCTGGTCTCTGTGCTTTCAGATCCTGGGTCTCTTTTCTGAGCTCCTTCCATCTGGTGGTGGTTCGATTATCTTCCAACAAAATTCTCATCACAAAGTGTTCCCTCGTTCCACAGATGTCATCACTCTCTGTCTTCACACATGGTTTTGTCTTGTCCATTGTCTGAATCCTTCCTTCCCGATCCATAAGACCTTCTTCCATGTCTGTTTCCCACTGATGTTAGTATACCTACGACTTTGGTCTTTTCACTGTGGTTTCTGTCTTTCCCACCCTTCCTTCCCTATTCTTCATCTGGTAATTTGTCAAAGATTTGTCCACTTTGTCCGTGTCCAGCTCTCAGACAGCCTTGTCTTTCTCCTTCTGTTTCTTCTGGGTTTTGTCTTCCCCTATCTTTTCTCTCTTTTCCATTCCTTTGTTTTACCTATTGGAATCTCAGTGTAGTTCTTTATGCCCTTTCCTGTCCTAATTTTCAGCCTTTGTCGTAATGTTCCATCTACCTTATCTCCCTCACGACCTAATTCCTTATCCTCCTTGTTTGTGGTTGTCATCATTCATATTTTTACACCATTTGTGTTACCCAGAAAGGTTCTTTCCTGCTTCTATAATTGGGTTTGAGAGTATTCGCCTGCCTCATAATACCAGCAACTGGACGTCCACACACTGTTCTTACGGTTGGGCAAATGCTGCTTGTCCTTCTCGTAATTTCAGATACAGGATGTCTCTGTCCTACATTTCTGGTTCAGTGAGTTATTATTTTGCCCATAGTACCGCTTACAGCTTTCCTTGTTCTTATGGTGGAGTACGGGCAACACCAAGACCCCATAATGCTGTGTTCGGTTTGTCGTACTTCTTTTTCCCACAGTGGTTTTGGGAGTTTGTCTGGTTACAGCCGTTGCTCACTTCCTTGTTGTAATTCCAGTTGATTGACATGCAACATTCAGTTATTCCTTTTTTTCCTTTCATTATATGTTGCTACAGCTTGCATCTTCTTAATACTTTTACAACCATGGAAGCACTACCTTTTCCAACCATTTGGTGTTCCTTTCCTCATTGTTGGGCAAAGAGAATATCTGTTTCAGAAGTAGTGCAGTACCCCATAGGTGTGCCTCACTTTCACCCCAAGCACTCCCTACAAATTCTGGGTGGTCACTTTCCACTTGGTTTGTTCCTTGTGCACCTACATTCCAGAAAATGTATTTTCGATAGGTGTGTACTTGCCAATTCTCGAAAGTGAGGATTGAACAGGAATAGCAGAGGGAGCTAGCTGCACCATTATAGGTGGTGCAATACTATTGGTGGAGAGTAGTCACATGATATGTACATGTTCAGAAATGAAGCAAAACTGGTGTGGTATAAAGACTGGTGTGCTGATTACTATAAATTCTTTCAGCAATGCTTAGAGGGCAGACAACAATCAAGATAGCTTTTGTGTAAGAAGAGGAAAGTACCTATCAGAAATACATTATCAATAATACAAACTGATAAACGTTCTGATACTAGTCATAATATGTGTAATAACATTACAATTTTAATTGAGCTCAGACCTATTAAACCTAAAATAGAGCTCTTTTAATAAGTTATGTATCAATGTTTGGATTATGATAAACCATAATATATGGCATAAAATCTAACTCTCTACTATCTAGGATGAAGCAGGTCAAACTGTACTACACTTCGCTGCTATGCAGTCTCATCAGAATGATAGTTTCTACAACCTCATCAGGCAGACCGAAATTCTACTGGGTGAACGGGATGAAAATTATAACACTGTTCGTGACATTGCAGAACAGGCTGGACAATGGGACAATGTCCAAACACTTGACCAGTATATCATTGATGCATTTATGAGTAATAATACAGATTTGCTAAACATGTTGATGCACGAGGGATACAACCACATACTGAACATCACAGATAAAGGAGGAAAGGATCTTAAAACAATATTAGAAGAGAACAAACTTCAGCAGTCCCTCACATTGTTGAATGAATTAACTGACTTTGAGGTGAGACAGTATCATTACACTAAATTTGATTTATATTGAATATCAATAAGTAGTTTAATAGAATCTACTATGGATAATTTATTTGATAACATATAATTGATTTCTCCTGCAAATACTGTGAAGTTATTTGATATCTCTGAAACAGGTTATCTTTGCCAACAGATTTTATAAAGACATATTGATGTAAATAAACTTGATTTCTTTAAGAAATATTGTTAGTGTTACAAAGTTAAATTAAAATTAATGTTACATTGTTTAATCTGAATACAGAGTTTTAAGATAATTGTATCTAGTGAATGTGAAAGGAATTTAGAATATCAGTTTGTTTTATTGGTAAATTTCTTTGTGAAAATATTTACCAAAATAATTTATTATTAATCATTGAAATTGGATTAACTAAATATTAAAATACCTTAATAATAAAAATAAAAGTAAACAACAGAGTATGAATAAAAATTTGTAGTTTAATAATGGAGTTGTAAAATGCAATTAATCAATATATAGGATATAATGTTGCAGTAAAGAATGAGTGAAAGGCAATAAAACATTAAAGGAATATAAAGTTACATATAGAGATGATAAATGTTGGTTTTCAATTCTATTTTATATTAACTAATGCAGCTCAATTCTGTACAGTAAAAGTATGAATTAAGTAATATACATAATGCTGTACAATCAGTAATATTCATTGAACAGACTTTTATGTTGTGAAATGTACAGTATAAAAATATAAATAGTATTATAGCTCATTTATTTCAGTTATGTCATTTGTATTTATTGATAAGCTTAAACTTGGCAGTTTTTAGGTATGAATAGAAAATTTCTTGTTTTTGTAATGAGTCTTTAATTTTACAGACCCAGTTTCAAATTGTCACTGTATGTACCATTGTTCAGATCCTTCAAATAATCTGAACAACTTTCATATTAAAACAGTATGCAACTTATCAAAAACACTACATGTAGTCTTTGAAGTAAATTGTGCACATTGCTATAAATATACCTAATATTTAACTGAAAGAATTAACTGTTAACAAATCACCCTGTATAAAGCTAGTGGAGCATTCAAGCTTCCAAACAGTAGCACAAGGATGGAGCTAGAAGCTATAAAGCAATTAAACTTAGTAAAGATAGCTGATTTCTTCAACACATATGAAATTCTGGACTATATAGTTCTTCCACTAGATTACATGTACTTGCAGCTGGTAGAGACACATATCTCTCACCAATTCTTCAAACATATGACATGTATTTACAGCTAGCACAGATACATAACTTTTCAACACAATTCTTCCACCAGATTAGATGTATTACAGCTAGCACCGACACATAATCTCTTAACACCAGGTTATGTATAGTTATATATAAAGTTGCAGCTATGAAAAACATGACCTCTTAACAGATCTTTTTCACAAGAACATGTGCAGTTACAAACATACACATACTTGCAGTTGCCACAAACATAGTCCCTGAAAAGTGGATTAAGCTGTTAAATATACACTTTTTTCATCAAATTACTGACAGTTGTACATGTATTTTCAGCTGGCACAAATATTGATCTCTCAGAGGAATAGTACATGGCGTTACACACGAACTTACAGATTATATAAACACATAACCTCTCAAACAATTTTTATTATAACAAGTACTGGAATATTTTCTTAGTGTACAAAGTTATTTTTGAAAGCACAACATGTTAACTCTCAGTTTTAATCAATCTATAAAACCTTTTTTTTAGTGAATAAATTATGATATTAAGACAAAGTTGAATGTGTCAAGAAATATTTGAAAATTACATTTAGGTGCTGAAGTTTGATATCTCCAACACATTATAGCTTGGGATGTAAAATTTATTTTCATTCAGGTTGTTTTAAAGTACTGAAATATAAATTAACACTTTTCAAGCATAGAATGTTTGAGTAATAAAGGAAACTAAACTCACAAATAACACTTCCTGGTTAATGATTTATAAAATGTATCTATTAAAATTAATTGTTTTCATCAATACTATTATATGTATACTAAGTAGTTTCAGTTCAAATACTATAATAATATTTGTACATATATTAACTAAGTATTGTACAAGTACTTATCACTACATGGTCCAAACATATTTCTCAACTATCTTCTAGATTTGTCACATTACAAACTAGAAATTCACTTAAATCAACAACCAAGTAATGATATGAATATCTACAAGTGTAATCTAATTTTCTTCTCTTTATAGGTTAATGAATAATTTATATGTTGTAGTCTACAGAAATACATTAAAAACTATAGTATTTTTTGGACAATTACAAAATGGAAAATTTATAATTCCTTTTTAACTCTACGCATAGTTTCATTTAAAATATTATGTTATCGGTTCCTTTATATCTATAAACTACCATAAAAGTTAAAAGGAGTTTCTTTATCACACACAAGACTTATACAAGTGAAGGTATGTCACAGTAGCTTCTATTTTTTTCCCAGAAAAAGCGTAACGATCTACACAACTATATAAGAAATGGATATATGGAAGGAGTTTCCAACCTAATTAATTCAGATCATTCATTAGTGACAGCCAAAAATGAAACAGCTCGATGTTCACTTCACATTGCTGTATTACTGGAAAATTTGGACATCGTTCAAAAGCTGGTGGATGTCAACTCTTCATCTGTACATGTTCCAGATAATGTATGTTTTTCATTATCTAAATATCTATATATAATATTGTAACTCATATCATTTAACATTATCTTCAGTTTCTTTTATATCTTTACCAGACCATTATTTTTAAATACCATGGTTAAAAAAATATACATTCCCCCCCCCCCCTTCCAAGATAGATAATACAAAATCCTATAAGCTTTAGTGGCTTAGGTTTCAAAGGGGCTAAAGTTGTAATTAGGAATCTTTCTTCATTTCTTTCACGATTAACATTCCTACAGTTGATTTAGCCCTGATGCATTTCATAAGAATCAATTGAAAAATTTTTATGAGATATTTTCAGCAATGAATAATTACCATTAAAATAAAAAAAGTAATTTCATGGAACTCCCTGCCCAAATAGAACACTAAGCAGTTGGATAAAAAAAGTTTCCCAAGCTTAATACTAGTCCTACGTTTGAGGTCCTATATTTCCAGTGTACATGTAGACAGTTTCTTGGTATATTTATAGAGAATTAAATTAAAGATTATGTTGAAAGTTTACATTTTCCTATACTGAAAATGTATTTCTAATAATACTTATCTCCTCTCACACTTTAGCTTTATCCTGATGAAAGGTTATTTTCTTTGCCTGTCTAGCCCTTGGTATGAATTCTTGTTTCATGGAACTCCCTGCCTAAATAGAAAACTAAGCAGTTGTCCAAGTTTTCCAAGCTTAATACTAGGCGACACACTCTATGGCCTCTTTGTTCAGAAGATCCTGGATGGCTTGTGGTCAACAGTTGGAAGTAAGAGGATCTTACGGGAGTGGAAAGCCAACCGGTATGAAAGATAGAGGAGGAGGAGATGTGAACTGAATGACCAATCTGCTCCTGAGAACTTGAATGACCCACTGATCTGTGGTGAATGTCTCCTATACTGACAAGAGACCCAACCAGACCTGACTCCATAAGGTAGTCACTGACACTGATACCTGCACTCCATCATGAAGGAGGATCCCTGCTGGTAAGGTCAAAATTGACCTTGGATTCCAAAGGATCATGGCACTGAAGCATGAAGAAACTTGAACGAGAGATGCAATAAAATATCCTGTAGAAGAACTTTTGGACAGCCAAGAAGCCAGTGTAGAAATTGAAGAATGTAGATGGGCCACATCTACACGAGATTCCATGGAGTCTGGAATTCCTGCAAAAATAGACTGTCTGAGAAAAGGAGCTTCTCTGAGATCTCTAAGGGCTGATGTAGGAAGGCGAACTCCCTCCATTAAACCATCTCTCTCCAAAAGATCCCAGCATCAAACCAACCAAGATACCAAGAAGAGAGCAGAAGCCGATAACCTAACCAAAGTGGAAGTCAATAGGTGACTAAGATCCTCTGAAATTTGAGTGGGGGATGTAGGATAGGCCTCAGACAACAGCTGCAAAGATGATAAAAAATGTAAAACTGTTGAAAGTGACAGATTAATTCTTGAAAACTGAGATTGATTAAGTGGCATCTTGTCTAGAACCCCAGATAGAAAGTAGAGGGTCTAACCTCTAAGAGTCCAAATAAGGGTTCTCCAGGTAATGGAAAGCTAAGGCATGCTGATCCAATAAACGAGGAGCACATAGGCATGGCAGCACCCTCCCTCAATCGATCTGCAAATCTCCTTGCATGAACAGCAATGTCTGACAAAGGTGGAAGGACCAGGTAATCAAATGAACTAGTCTCTCCCAATAAAGAAGGTGAAGATTCATAAGCCACAGGAGAAATACTTGAAACATTATAAACATGGTGTACTAGTTGTAAAAAGGGTGCAGGAAGCAGAATGTCTGTCCAAAGTTTGTGAGTAGCTGTCTGAGCAAAGGAAGGTGCTGGAAAAATATAATCTAAATTCTCAGTAGTCTACCTTTGATCTCCCACAAACTCAGCTTTATAGCCAACAGTAGCTTATATATGGATTGGGTATAGAGGGCACATTGATGTAGGTGAAGAAAGTCACAACTTTAAAATCACTAGAGGCAATATAGTGGGATATAAAGACTGGAGCAAGTGAGGTAGAATTCATACCAATGCTTAGACAGGAAAAGCTAAAGAGTGAGAGGAGGTAAGTGTATTTTGGAAAATAAGTATATGTGATAAAAATGAGTTGGTCCAAAGAATAAAAATCAACATTTTTAAACATTCTGTGGTTTTTAATAAACATATGTTACCTTTTCTGTATGTGTACTCTAATATTAATGAAATCTTCCTTACAGATGGGGAGGACACCTCTCCACTATGCAATGGCTGCAGTTAATGTTACTAAAATTGCCCGCATTCTGATTGAGGCTGGAGCCTTGCGAACAACACGAGATGTGGTATGTTGATCTTTCTTTACCAGTTTTTATCCACTTTTTCATTAAGATAGATAATAAAATAAGCCATGTAAGTGACCAAACAGAATCAAGCAAAATGTGTAGGACTGAATGATGCATAGCTTACAGTGTATTAGAGAGACTGGATTAACAATAAAAATAGCTTATTGGTACAAGAAACACGTTTAGAGGAAACCAAATAACAAAAAAAAATAATCACATAAAAGGACAGTATTGGGCAGAATTAGAATTACTGCATGTCACTTAGTTAAACTGGACTACAGGGAGATTTACTGAAAAGCTAAAACAGTTTACTAAGAAAATCAGTCACCTACTTTCGTCAAATTTTGAGATGAAAAGTTTTGACACCAAAATATTTATTTCTTCTCCTTTTCAAGAAAATGCAATCAGTAAGCCACTATTATATTGAAGCAGAAGAAATCCATAAGTTGAAGAGAGAAGAAGACCAGTCATAGCTAGCAAGCCAAAGCAGAAGCCCAATTACAACATACAACTAAAACTGTGTAGATCAAGAAAGCAACTCATGACCAACACTATATTTTCTTATTATGTGCATTAAACCAGCACTAGTAATGTGTGTAACATCTATCAATACTTTTATGTTAGCTTGCAGCTGCTATTTTTCTGTATTCAGTTATTAGTTACTGAATGTTTATTTCTGTATTTTTTCTCTCACTCATAAAGAACTGAAATAACGTAGAAGTTCTATTATAGTAAAACTAACAAATGGAAGTAAATATTATTACAACTCACTGTATGTATGTGCTAGGCTTTGGGCACATTCAGTATTTACTTCATATCATGATCTTAAATGTATGTGTATGATAAACTTTCTGATGCATTCACCATAACACCTTTCCTTGTATGTTAAATATTTATAATATACTATAATATGACCTTCACAATTTAGAGTGGAACCATTAAAAAGCATTTGTGATAAGGAAAAAATGACAGTTGCATTACAGAAGTCCTTAGTTTAAACATCTGTACAAACTTTCTAAAAACCTTTAATATTTCTTTTATCACACACTTGAGTTGTGATTTAACTGATAATTTGCAGCAAATATAAATTAAACTAAGTAATATAATTTAAAAAGTTTGTATTGATTTTTATCAATTCCTTCAACAAATTAACAATTCTACTGAAATTACTTGAATCTTTCTTTAAAAATTCAGATAATTACCTTGAGCTTAGTTTAAAACAGTTTTTTAATATTCTTTGGCAAACTACAAATATCACTATATTTCTATGTGCAATTATTTGTACAAAGTATTTTATGCATCTAGGCTATGCAATGTAGCCAAATGCACATAAAAGTATTTTTTTAGGTAATTAAACCACTGCTTATAAAATTTTATTTACATGTTGAAAAGCATACATATTTAAAGATGCATAATATATGACTATTAAATGTTATATTTTAATGAATAGTTATTTTAATGGCTGTTAATGATGTAAGTAGAATTTAAAAAAAGTGTATAACTGTTATATTATAGGAAATTACCTGTTAAAATGGCCAGTAAATTTTCTATATATTTAAATGTTTCCAATCTATAGTAATATGTTTGTTTTCAAACTGCATGTATTCAAACTCTGATAAGGATACAGTATGTCACCTAATAAAAATATTAAGTGTTATTTTCAAATGTCTCATCTTTATTAATTTATATGTCTTGCACCCATATGTAAAGGGGGGTAAGCACATCTGTACTTCAAGTATTCGAGCACTTAGATTTCTACCCATGCATATATATGTGGACCACCATTTCACAGGCATCGTTTATTTATTTATTTCAATGTTGCATCATGGGTAATATGGCTATCTAAGTAATGCATGAAAATAAGTCTGCTTACAATTATTCTGATTGTGACCACCTCAACACTGGACAATAAACTGGCTACCCAGTGCAGAAAATATGCAGTATAATACCATAACTTACAAGGTGATTTACAGTTATTACAAGATGTGTGGTATTCAGATTCACTGATATCCAATGAGTAAGTACCAAGATCTTCAATAAATAGCAAATTAAGGAAACCTTTAACAAAATAATAAAATGTACATGGATAGTACAAGAATAAAGAACTCAAGCACATAATAAAAATCCAGTACAACTCAAACAGTTACATCAAAAGAGTATTGTACAATGGTACACAGTCCAAATAATCATAGTTATTACAAAATAAGTATGCCCATGGTTACAAAACTTGAAACAAGAACAAAATTAAACACAAAACACTAGAAATTAGTTTATAAACATAAAATTACTCACAATTATATAAAACAGATTATAACTCAAAATGAAAAAATGTAATATGGAATTAATCTGAAAAATAATTAGTAAAACCAACTGTTAATTGAACTAGTAAAACACAGGATGATAAGTTGGAATTTTATGCAGGTATAACACTAGAGATGGATTTTAATAATGGAACCAATGTTGCACATGATGGCAGCCAGTGCAAAGTCAAGTGCTTATCTTACCATTGCTTTAATGAATCGAAAGTTTAACTTATTAAGACTAATATAATAATACAGAACTAACATAAATAAACTTTAAAGGCTGAAAAATGGCAGCAAATAGTAAAATCTATAACAGAGGTGACAATTCTTAATGTGTGGAAAATTGTACAAATAATGAAAAAAATTAAACATATGGAAAAAAAAGGTATATGAAATACATCTGCGTGCCCATGAAGACTGTCCATATTTTATTCAATTTGCATTTCACAAATTACCAAGATCAGAACCTGAAAGATTGCCATTTGAATTGCTGCTATAAACAGAAAAAATATCCATAAAACAGGTTTTGTATATCCAAAACACTTTGATAATGGAAAATCGACTGACAGAAATCTCATAATCATGTTAAAACTTAGATATGAAAAGGAAGTCAAACTAGGGTGGCAACATTCAGTACATTTTGTTTTACAGCTTCTTCAGCAGCATTCTACTAAAACCAAAAAGTTTTGTACTGTCAGTTATGGTTTATGTTCTACTGAAATGCTCCTGAAGAAGCTGTAAAGCAAAACACTGATTGCCCAATTAAGGAAAAATATCAAATTTAGTGTTATAAAGTCATTTATAATGTCTTTTATACACAAATATTCACTACAGAAATTAAATAATGATCATTCAGTATGATCAATGGTTAAGTCAACACCTAGGAGTAACTGTTCCAAAATTCAAATTGAAACTGCAGAAAATATACAACAACCTATTTGTAAAGTACTGGAAAACTACATTAGCAATAGCAAAGGTATTCCAATAACAACAAATGAAACCAGACACGAAAAGGAAACAATGCCTATCGGTACACAGTATCGGGAGTCAGATGTAGCTGCCCCTGATTACATTTATGGAAAACATTGGATGGCTATGCAAGTTGTTTTAAAACAGACAATTTTAAGGTAAGGTAAGGAAAATGTTAAATTCCAAGACAATACCCCACCTCCACACACAGAATAGCTAGAATCCCACATTGAAATGGTGGAAAGGCCAGTGAAACATTAAGCCTATATAATTTCCCTTCAGAAAGCATCAAAGGTAAAGCCCATGGAGTGTTACACCTGATGGCAGGGACCGCATAGGGGATAACCATGGAAGACCACATCTCATCTCGACCAGGATATACTCTAAGTGTCGCAGAGATGAGCAAAATTATAACATGACCAATCAAGCACTTACACATAAGTGGTTGGTGAGTCAAGAAGTGAAGTGTTGGTAGATCATGATCAGACCATACTGTGTGTCTCACCTCAACTCAACTGGACAGACGAAATGGGGATGACAAACCCGTCTCACTGCAGGAGGAGGGCACATCAGTGGTTTGAGGGGTGACTTACACTACGCAGACAGTGTCACCACTGCCCTACTTCCTACTGTATTGTGCTGTACACAATCAGTCCAGCACTCAAGCAGCTAGGAACTGGTAAGTGGCAAGGGTCTCCTACACTCCACTTGAAGAATTGAGAGAGAATTCACATTGGGGAGACCCAGAGAAGTGTCCAGATCTCCATCAGATGCCTGCTGGAAAGGTCTTTTATTGGAGACAGTGCAATGGGTGACTACAAAAAAAGCTGAGAAGCGTGAGTCAAAGAAGTGGGCAATAACTTCCTTGGTATTGGCTTTTTCCATGATAGTCAATGGAATGGTATAGTCTGGATCAGACAACTGAATAAGTTTAATACCATGAGAATACCTCCAGTGGTCGTGCAGAACACCTCCTCTCAACAGTGGGCCCTGGTAGAGCCAGGGCAGATAGGTTGAGCACATTCTAAGTTACCCTTAGCCCAATGTGAATTTTGGGAAATAAGTATACCCTGGGAGGCAATACCAGCCACCTGGTGGGATCCTATAAGAGGGAAGAGAATGAGGAAAAAGCAAATGTACTTATCCTTCTCAAAGATGGTGTGTAGATTGAAGAATAGCAACCAGAAGGAATAGAATTCTCACAGGTGATGAAACAACCAGATGATGAAGATAATGGGAGACAAATGTGTGCAGATTCCTCCACATTGCCAACCTGAAGGATCTCATCCAAAAGTCAAGGAAAATGAAACAAGATAGTGAGACAGGTGATGAATTTGATGCAAGGAAATGTGTGCATCAATATCCAAGGAAGGATACACTAACCGGAGAGGTCAGCAGATACATCCTCTAAGGGTACGAGGTGATAAGTCCCTGGAAGGATAATGGTCCCAAAGCAGAAACAAATGATGAAGGGAACCCCAAAAAGGAAACCTTCATACCAAATAACACTGCATAGCCCAAATCAAACACAGAAGACAATTCAGGTCCAAATGAGCATAGAGTTGAGAGATGAAAGGGAGGTAGGTAGGAGAGAAAGAACAATCATCTTCCCAAGCAGCTGCAGTCTTGAGAAGTAAAGACTGATTTGGATAGAAAGCAAACCCAACAAGAAACAGAGAGTGAAGAGACTACTCCATGGGTAGAATCTGGTCTGGCTGACAGAGATGATCTGCCACCAATTTCAGAGCCCCTGGAACATAACAAACTATGAGATGTACATGATGGGAATGAGCCCAAAGTAGCAGGTCCAATGTTGAAATCAAAGAGTTCTGGAATGGACAAAACATAGAAAATATCTGAAGGACAGAGTAATTAGAATATTCAAAAATTCATCCCATACATCAACTTTGGTCATCCACAAACCAGGTGAAAAGGGCCACCAAAGACAAAAGAAACTCTCCATCTGGTATGTGGGACAAGTAGAAACCAGTTGAGGGACACCAGGTCAATTACTGGAAGCCAGTCCCTGGTCTTTTTTGGGGACCACAAAGAGACAAGTAATATCCTGAAATTGGGTTAAATACCCTCTCAATGGCATTCTTGCCCAAGAGATCTGAGACTGCATCCTCAAGACACTGAAGGTAAACAGGGTAAGAGGGAGGAGGAAAGGAAATGGGAAAAGGAGGAGAAAAGAAATGAAGAGATAAGCTATGAGTAAGAACCTGAACAACCCATCTATTGGCCAAATATGGAAACCAAAAGGTGACAAAGCAAGACAAACAGGAATCAATTTGGCCAGACCGCACAGGATAGTCACCAACATGACAAATGACAACTTTGGCGTCGTGAAGTGTGGGGGAGAGTAACTGGAATGTAAAGGGAAGACATGGATTTAGCAGATCACTGAACATAAACAGAAGGTCAAGGTTGAGAAATAATAGAAGACAATGAGTACTGATACCAGGCAGCCTCAGTCTTGGTCTGCAGGAAGTCAAGAACAACCCTGAAGATCGCAGAGATAAGAGTGAGGCAGGCAAATATTATTGAGGAAAGCATCCAAACTCAACAAGTCTCAGCAGCACAGGAACCAAGTAAAGAGGGATAGAGCAAAAGTGGTAAAAATGAGAGAAAGAATCTCTACAGAAAGTTCTTCCAGGGCATGATGAAGTGTCTCAAAAATAAAGGACATGAGGTAACATAAGAGGGTGGTAAGAAAGAGATGAAGGCATGAAAAGTGGGCACTAGAAAGTGAAACAGAAGTTAAAGGATCAACCTCCCAAACAAGTAAAAGATTCTAAAGATTGGGAATCAAGGAAAAGAAATAAAGAATGGCTGTAAGCCAGGACAAAAAAGTCATGTTCAAGAAACAGGTCTGCATGAACCCTAATATCAGGCAAAGGAGAGAAAACAAAGTAATTTTGAAAATGGGATTTGTATAGTAAAGAACAAGAAGAATCAAAGGAGAAAGAGAAAGAAAAAACATACCACAGTCAATCAGGCTGGAACCTGGGGATTTTTAAGAACAAACAGTGTATGTGCTGCATCTTGCCCTTCTAATGCAAGAATGCACTTATCTCATACTCCTGTGTCCAATCTAAATAGCTGTTTATGGGACAATGCACATACAACTGCATCAA